AGATGATTCCGTAGTGACGGAATCCGTATGCGCGCTTAAATATGTGCTAGGATCTCCACATTGTGGTCGCTACATTGAGGTAGTGAGCCCTCCGTGCACTGCTGCAGATGTCACATCTCTGTCATCCCTTTCATGTTACGATTTCCTTCACGACACCCAAGGCCGACGACATCGAGCAAGTTTGCGTTGTTTCAGCCGCCGAAGCAGCCAGTGAAGAAGTTCTGTAGGCTCGCCCAACGAGCGCTGAGCCTAAACCAGCGCGCGAAGAACGCTTCGCGGCACAGTCTTGGTATGCCCTTTGTGATTTGAGCAACCCTGTCTCTGTAATTGCCCGTGAGTACGCCGATATTTTCCTGGAGAAAATTCCAGCTGAGCCTCCGGCGGATCGTGGTGTGCGGCACGAGATAGATCTCGTGCCAGGACCGAAATACTGCGTGACAAGGCAGTGGCCGTTACTGCGCGACCAAGTCATCGCTATTGATAAATTTTTCGAGGGTCGCCGCAAGGCTGGCCATGTCCGCGAGAGTATCTCGCCACATTCGAGTCCGACTTTCTGTGTGAAGAAAGCCACCGGCGGTTGGCGCATTGTGCACGCCTTCAACAAGCTGAATGACGCCACGATCCCGGCTCAAACGCCTATCCCTCGAAAAGACATGGTATTGAATACCGTGTCCGGGAGCGAGATCTACAGCGCCACAGATCTGACAGACGATTTCTATCAGATGCTCATGAGGACAGTGACATTCCGTTCACCGCGATCAGCACCCCAAGCGGGATGCTTTAGGAGTGGTTAGTCATGCCACAAGGTCTTAGGAATGCTCCAGCTACGTTCAATCAGTATGGTGACACAAGTACTTCGTCCACTTCGCGACTTAGCACCAAGTTACTTTGATGACAATTTTGTTTACAGCCGCGCTGAGCAAAAGCTTAGCGCTAGGGAGGTACACCTTCGACACTTGAAGCAGGTATTTCAAGTTATGCGCAAGAATAAATTGTATGCGAATTTGAAGAAATGTGTCTTCTGCGCTCCCGAGATGCCAGTACTCGGTTGCTACATCAGCAAGGAAGGTGTCCGCGCTGATCCTGAAAAGATCTTATCGATCTGTTCCTGGCCAACACCCAGGGATTTAACTGAATTACGTCAATGGATCGGTCTGGCGACTTACTTGCGTAAGTATACGAAGCATTTTGCTGAACTAATTATGCCATTATCGACATTGCAAAAGAAAGACACAATATGGTTATGGACGGCAGAACCTAAATCTGCCTTCGACTCTGTGAAGAAGAGCTTGTCCGAGGCGCCAGTGCTGATGCTACCTGACGACTCCAAGCCATTCACGTCGTATTTGACGCGAACGATTTCGCTATAGGATGTGCTCTCATGCAATTTGATGACGAGGGTCGAGAGCACGTCGTGAAATGTCAATAACGACAGATAAAATTTGCTGATAAAAATTATCCGGTACACGACAAGGAACTTTTGTCCATTAGTTACGCACCAATTAAGTTTAGAGTATATTTTCTCGGCGAAAAGATGTGATAATCTACACAGATCACGCATCATTGCGTACCACCGTCAAGAGCCCTCACTTGTCTCAGCGTATGGCACGATGGTTGTCATTTTTCGCCGAGTATGATTATGTGATACATCACAACCCTGGCAAGAATAACGTTCTCGCTGACGCGCTTTATCGTCGTCCTAATTACGATCCTCGGCGCGACATAGGTCATCAAACAGAGAGTGTTGATCACGACGATGATATATGTGCGTATTGTATTGAGTTGGGGCTCAACACGATGATTTCGACACCCGTGCTGTCGATCCGAATTCAGATCGCTGAACCCTACGCGAATTGATCCTTCTATGCGGGATTCATCAATAATCTCGAAGACCCTAGTGAGTGTTCACTCGCGAAGTTGACGAAACCAACACGCGACAACATCAGGCATTACGCGCTTGACGTACCGTTGCTGACGTACACGATGGACGTCTTTGATTCACCGCGTGTCATCATCCCTACTGATGACGACCTTCTAGCCCGATTGGTTCAATAATTTTACGACAGTCCATCTGGCGGTCACCTGGGTCGCGAATAGACGTCTGCGGCTACTTCCCGCGTGCATTTCTGGCCGCAAATGTAAAAGTTAAATTAAAAATGGGAGCGCTTTTGTAAAAGCTGTCAGCGTGTTAAGCCCGTGTCGTCTCCACAAACGCTATTGCGCCCGCTTCCAATTACTACGGAAGCCTGACGCTCAGTCAGCAAGGATTTTATCTTCGAATTTTTACCGAATGAACAGAAACGCACGGGCGTATTGGTCCTAGTGAAACGACTCAGCAAACTGGTGCATATTTCTCTGGTCTCCGCCCATATTACGCTGTAGACGACAGCACAGATCTTCATTAGTCTCATCATCAGACTTCACGACTTGCCAGAGTCTATTTTTTGGACCGTGACCCGCGTTTTACTTTAGCTTTCGGGATAACTTTTTTCAGCTAATAGTCACGAGGTTCCTTATGTCTACGTCGGCCCATCCAGAGACGGATGAGCAAACGGTGCGCGTGAACAGAGTGCTTAAAGATTTCTTGCGCACTTATGCAACGTCATTTTCGTCGTTAAGTCCGTTTCTTCCACTGTAGAGTTTGCAATTAAACAATGCTTTACATGCGTCAGCCGGATTGAAGGCATTCTTGAACAAAGAGAGGCATCTTTGCGTTCCGGATTCTTTCTCTCGCAGCTTCAAATTATCCAGTGATAAAGCTTTGTGGGAAGTACTTACTGATGGAATTGCGCTGAAACTATTGACAATTGATTAAAATGAAGTTAAGGCTGATGCCGAGGCATTCAATGCTGGTAAACTTGTGCCCAATGGCATATTGACTCTTGACCAGGGTGGCAAAGCCTAGAATTGTGTGAAAGCGGAAACTAGGTCTTATATTCCGCGATATAGTTCTTATTCGGTTTAATTTACGTTTATTTAATCCTGAAAAAATATAATTACAAATCTATATCGCGCACGTTGACTTATTAGTTGGCTTTCTTCACAGTTAATGACAGGCTGTAAGGGGCACCCTCTGATTTTACTCTCAGAGTATAATTTACCTTGGCTGATGACAGTGAAGGCAGGTGCCTCATACACGTGAACAGAGAAAGTCTTATCAGCAAGGAATTATGGCAAAAAAGAGAACTGTATTTAACATAGTGAAGCTATTTAATAATTGTTAATCTATTTTTAACCTTGTCTTAACTATACCAAAGTACAATTATGTATTTTACATTTGTGCCATCCATTCATTGCGCGCGTCCATCGGTCATTGTTAAACGCCCTGGTTTATAAAATGGCATATATAAACCAGTTAGAGGACATCTCCAACTTCAAGGAGATGCAGGGAAAATAATATAGGAAACGGTAATATTGTCATAAATTATTCGTTATTATAATATTTTTGGCCCCTATTACTTAAGCCAATATTATAACGGGCTCACCCCGACGCATCACCCCCCCCCCACCCTCAGCCATCAGTCATATTAGTGACTGATGAATTGTGACATATGGGATTTGTGAAGCATTTGTTGGCCTTTTTCCTTTTATTCAACAACTTCAACGCAATGAGCAAGTCAATTCGCGTGGCTGCCAAGGCAGCCAAGAGCTCGGATTTACGCCTATGTGCAGCTGCTAGCGAGGCTTTACAGTTTCAATCATCAGACATCAATATGTCTGCTGCAAGTCAGCATAAGCCTGTAACGTCTGCTGCAGGTTTAAGTGGCACTTCGCTACGTGAAAATGTTGATTCACAGCTAGTCGCTGACTACTCTGGTGAGTCGGATGATGCATCCTACCCAAATACATCTGTTTTACTCCCTGGCTCGCCCCGTGGTGCTACCTCATCTTCGGTCCATACCAAAAGGGCCGTGGTACATTATATAAATCAATGTATCGTGATTTGTTCGGGTTGTCAAATAAATTAGACGACTCGCCAATCGAGCCGAGCAAATCTGACTCGACTGGAAGTGTTGTTCGTAAATTCGGCAATTCTACTGACACCACTGCACGTGGTGTCTGTACTTCCGTTGACCTCACGCAGAAGTCTCTCGATCGCAATGCATTGCGTCTTGATCCTGATCGGAAACCGTGGATGCTATCTAAGCGTCTGATAGATCGTTGGTCTGGAATGACCAGCCAACGGTTTCCAATTTCGTTGTTCAATGCGTCAAAGCTTCACGGCCTTGACGCCAGTGCGAATAACTTTTGCACTAATATGATAATTACATTAATGCATTCCTTCTGCATCGATGGCAAAGACCAGACCATAAGCGTAAAGCTGATGCTTTCCTACAAGCTTAGAATTCATCTATTCTCAACGTTTATAACATTGGGCGTGATGCTTGGTTAAAAGCTAAATGCTAATCGCAATTGGTTTGAGAAACGAAGTATGGCCGATGCATGCTATCTCTTGCATCGATTGTTAAGAGAGACTGAGCTGCTATGCCTCTCTTGGGCGAACCTTGCCCGGGGTGCGTGAACACCTCAGCAAGAGCGTCTAAGGAGGCGTACCTCCTTAATAAGCCCTGGTGGAGAGCTCGCATCTCTTCCGAGAGATGCGAAGGGATTGCTCCCTTTATGAGCGCGCTGGGGGAATTGGTGGCATTTGCGGCAGAGTATGTGTAATGGGCTAAGGACCCGTTAATGTCTTGCACTAAAAGGGCGTTGAGGAAGCGCTCTTAATTAACTCGTAAATATAACTCTGTTTTATTTTTGTTTTGTTTTAATTCGCAGTAAGTGCGAATATGTTCCCTAGCTCATGGGAACCACTCAATATAATATTTAATTTATTATTGGCTAATTATTGGGTCTGGCACCCCAATAATAAACCATAAATAATATGACGCGCAGTTTTCGCTAATCCGATACTGCCCTATGCCTACTTATGTAATTATGTATTATCCCTATAACGACTTATGTAATAGGTGGCCTCATTACAGTATGAGTTTAGCTCAACCATGCACAGTATGGACGTAGGGCCATCGATCGTGATGAGCGAGGTGGACGCATGGGTAGAGACGGGCAGGGCCGCAATTTTTTGGTCAGATTGAGTCTGGTAACGTTGAAGCAGATAATTTGACCTGATGTTCTTGTTGTGCGGCGGTATCAGACAAACGAAACGTGGCTGCCAGGCTTTAAGGTGTCGGATGACGCAAAGGTAGCAGTGGACATTAGTGGTGCGTTTCCGAGAACGGGTAAGGAGAGTGTATGGATTCTGGACAGCGCTTTGAATGTCCACTTGGTACGCGACGTCAGTCTGCTGCGGAAGGCTTTCAACTTCTCAGACACATGGCGAACCGCAAACGAAGACACTTACAAGTATCGCGACGAGGGACGGTCGTTCTGCGCACCGCCTACAGCCTGCGCACCGCCTACAGCAGCGCCTACAGCCTGCGCACCGCCTACAGCAGTGCGCAGAACGACCGTCCCTCGTCGCGATATTTGTAAGTGTCTCCGTTTGCGGTTCGCCATGTGTCTGAGAAGTTGAAAGCCTTCCGCAGCAGACTGACGTCGCGTACCAAGTGGACATTCAAAGCGCTGTCCAGAATCCATACACTCTCCTTACCCGTTCTCGGAAACGCACCACTAATGTCCACTGCTACCTTTGCGTCATCCGACACCTTAAAGCCTGGCAGCCACGTTTCGTTTGTCTGATACCGCCGCACAACAAGAACATCAGGTCAAATTATCTGCTTCAACGTTACCAGACTCAATCTGACCAAAAAATTGCGGCCCTGCCCGTCTCTACCCATGCGTCCACCTCGCTCATCACGATCGATGGCCCTACGTCCATACTGTGCATGGTTGAGCTAAACTCATACTGTAATGAGGCCACCTATTACATAAGTCGTTATAGGGATAATACATAATTACATAAGTAGGCATAGGGCAGTATCGGATTAGCGAAAACTGCGCGTCATATTATTTATGGTTTATTATTGGGGTGCCAGACCCAATAATTAGCCAATAATAAATTAAATATTATATTGAGTGGTTCCCATGAGCTAGGGCACATATTCGCACTTACTGCGAATTAAAACAAAACAAAAATAAAACAGAGTTATATTTACGAGTTAATTAAGAGCGCTTCCTCAACGCCCAAACGAAACGTGGCTGCCAGGCTTTAAGGTGTCGGATGACGCAAAGGTAGCAGTGGACATTAGTGGTGCGTTTCCGAGAACGGGTAAGGAGAGTGTATGGATTCTGGACAGCGCTTTGAATGTCCACTTGGTACGCGACGTCAGTCTGCTGCGGAAGGCTTTCAACTTCTCAGACACATGGCGAACCGCAAACGGAGACACTTACAAATATCGCGACGAGGGACGGTCGTTCTGCGCACTGCTGTAGGCGGTGGTGCAAATGCGCGTCGGGACAACAAATGATTATTACTGCAAAGACGCCAGCAGCAACATTATTAGCTATGATTCGTTGGAAGAAAAGGGTGCGCGGACGGACAACGCATCTTTAAAGTGCGACGCGAAGTGGCGTGTTCTTTTAATCGAAACCACTGGAGGCTGTACCAAGTGCGATGCAGTATTGACAGGAGTATCTCATATAGATGAAGGTGCGGCCGACGCAGTCACGGATTGCTCTCCTCGAGTTCCATGACCGTATCTTAAATACGTTAGGGGTATATATGGCAGATGAGCCGGGATGGGGCTTCCGCCTCACCAACCACAAGAGGCTGAATTGTCTCACGTGCATGCAAGGGAAGCAATACACAAATATATACAATTTTTAAAAGAACACTGGATAGAACGCAATGATTAATCAGATCAGTGGTTTAATCTGTAGCGACATAATATTACCAATTTTAACGGGGCTAGAAAGTACCATCATTAGCTCACACGTGCGCTCATGAAGACTCAAGCCCAAGTATTAGGTATAGGTAAATTTAACTTATTTTTATTTTGTTTTAATTCGTACAAATTACGAAAATTTTAAGTCGTAATAAATACGACCGTGTTCCCGTCTCTGGGGAAGCACACATTTTCAGGTTATTTTATCATTGGTCCATACTGGGTCTTTGGCCCTAAAAAAATAATAAAACAATACTAAATTGCCACTCTGTGCCCGCTATTCGGGCACAGCATTTTCCTACAAATGTAATTGTTTATTTTTTGTTAAAAATTATGTATGCAATGTAGCCCATTACATCACCCCTTCTCAAGACTGCACTCACCAACCGTGAGTGCTAAACTGTTGAAACTGCAACGCTCACAAACGAACAAGCGATGTCCGAGCACACGACTCCCAACATTGCAGCATTTCTAAGCAATATCAGCAGGAATGCAACCACAAACATTATGGCGCATCAACTCATCCCTTGGGTGCTGTATGAATTGTCCGGAGCTCGCGCTCCGGACTCACTGGAAACGATGCAGGACTACTTTCGGCGTTTTCGTAAACTGCGGGAAACGTCTTAATGAAATTGGATTTAAAGCCCACAACGTTTCTGAACACTTTCACCTGACGTTAAAAAAGGATGCTCGAGGATGGAAGCAGCTTCAAACTGTGGCTCTCCAATAGAGAGTAATTTCGCGACGATGGCTTCATCGGCGCGCTACGTGAAACGGTGTGTGAGAATGCTAGGACCGCCTCTGCTACGTTCATGTCAATGAAGGTGCCAATTTTGTGACTCGACTACGTCCAACTCATGACGAATGGGCGTGTGAGGCCGACCACATAGAACGAAGTATAGCCAGTAGAGACGTGCACAAAATGATTGAGCGTGAAATCAAGAACAGGGAGTATATAGCTCCAACGTTAAGGCGTTTCAGCAAAAACACTGCGGAGGATATCCCCATCTACTCCACTTACTCGATTACCCCGTTCAGTGTGACCATCTATCTGCAGATGATGCGCTGTGGACATGTCCAATTGTGTGTCAAGCACCTGAAAGATGACTGCTAATTCCTACTCGTGAAACAAGATTCACGGTTAGAAAAAATTGCCACAGGCAAGCCATGTTGGCGAAATACAAGATCATTAAACAGATGCGCTGTACTTTTACCATCAATCAAGAGCGGCAAAGCCGCTAACTAAGCCATCTTGCTCAAACGGTCAACAAAGACCACAACACCTGTGTTGCCATGCACATTTCTCGGTAGTACAGCCACAAAATCCATACTAATGGACTCTCAACATTTTTGGTGGGGACAGGCAAATAAGCCAAAGACGCCTTCAGCTGCGTTGGCACGTTTCACACGTACACACATACTTGCTCACTGATTTATACAGTTTGGGCCACCAATAACGTTGGAATATTAAAGTATAGGTCTTTTCACGACCTAAATGATCACCAATGGCGGTGTCATATGCCTCATTGAGAATACAATATAAAAGGGATAGTCATGAGGAACCACCATACGCGGAGGATCCGTCGCATCCGTACAATAGTACAACAGCCTCCAATCGATTGAATATCGATAAAGGCTTGCACGTAATCATTGGCGAAAATTCATTGTCCGAGTCTTTAAAGTCGTCACTGCCAAGGGTATGCAGCAGAGCTACGCAGTAATAATTTAAAGCGTATGCAGAACGAAAAATATCCGTTATAGAAGACGATCGTGTTGAACATGAGCAAGCTCATGGTCAGGTCTGCGTGAAAATGCACCAGAAAAGGCGTTTTACTTGCCCGGCTTATAATTCACCTCGAAGTCATATTTAGCAGAAAATGAAAGCTAGTGGGACATTCTCTGCGAGTGATGAGGCGACTGAGCCGCAGTGCGTAAAGACGCATGATCGGTATCGATCACAAAAGGCTTCGAGTCCAGCAGATAAACACTGAATTTGACGAGAGCATACTTCATTGCAAATAGCTCTTTGTCATGAACTGGATAGTTCTTCTCTGCAGCTTTCAGCTGGCGAGACTCGAAGGCGATCACACGCTCACGACCTTCAGCATCTGTTTATAACAGAGCACTGCCAATGGCAAAATCCGACGTGTCACAGAAAACGCTAAACGGTCGTCCAGGATGAGGCAATACTAAAATGGGAAATAAAGTACGTCTGTGCATAACTTCGATGGGGTCGAAAAAATTGCGTCACCAAACGGTTAAACGTAGCCGGAGCATTAGATAGCCCTTGAGGCATCACCAACCACTCCCAGAGCATACCGCTCGGAGTATTAACAGCAGTAAGCGGAATATCGATAGCTCGCATGAGTCAATTGGTAATAACCATCGACTAAGTCGAGCGCACTGTACATGTTACAACCGACCATATTGTTGCGAAGAACATCCTTTCTAAGAATTGGCGTCTGCGCAGGTATAGTGGCTGCATTAATCATGAACAAAACGCCACTTACCATTGGGTTTCTTGACACAAAAAGTAGATGTCGAGTGCGGAGATTTACTCTCGTGCACCATACACACCGTGTGCTTTGCGCAAAAGAACTCGTCAATTGCTATACGGCTAAAATTCAGTGGACAATTGTATGTGGGGCAGTCCCATCAAACTTTGGAGGGCCCATCCAAATGGGCCGAAAGCGCCTCAACAGTTCTGTTGAGCGCCTCATTCCGAGCTTGCTCACGCAAAAGCTCATCCTGAGTCTTATTAATGTACTCAGCCGTTGCTTGGCTGTTACCTCGGACGCGTTTCTACGCTGTCCGAGCGCAAACGCCTCGAATTGCTCCAACTGAGCTTCATTTTGCTTAAGAGGTTGGCCAGGGCTTGTTCACCAAGTCCCTGCTCCATATGCTCTGCCAACTCCCTATGATGTTGGGAGAGGTGAATAAAATTACCCCAATCCACGTTGAGGGACATCCGTATCCACACGCACGCTCAGAGAGACGGGTCGTGGGTAGGACTCTGGGTGCTACCAAGTCTAGACGGGCACTTCGCAATGAATCTGCCACGTACTACGCGGAGCACACCTTCATATAGCGCGAGGAAGCGGTTGTTCCGTCTTACCTCCGTGTGCGGTGGTGGTGGTGCTGGTCGGCGCTAAGAAGCACTGTACCAACCGTTGCCGGTCGCTTTGAAGCGAGCCGCGCATCGAACTGCTAAGACAAGAGCTACACTTACGACACGCAGAAGCTTATTCAGCTTCTCGTGCGCAGTGTGCGATGTTAAGTAAACTCAAGTCTGACTATAGAGCTGAAACATGACCTGAGGTTGAAGTTCTTGGCTATGGAAGGTGAATAGGAGGTATTGACATCTATTACGTTGTAGCGTTATTTAACCAGACGTGAGCTTCTGGCATCTCCAATTCTACATAACATGTACATTACTACAACTACATAAAGCAGGAGCTGGCAGGAAGTCGTGCATTTAGTATCTGGATTATAGCTTTTTGTCGCCATTGATCTTCCGTATTGATGCTGAGCCAGGTTGACCAAAACCTTTTCTCAGACCACAAACCTGTTGCATGGCGTCTTCCCTTGACATTTTAGATTCACGCCATGTAAAGCGCTATCGCTGTTTCTGCATTCTGGTTAAGTAGCAACGCAATCCTAAATCCTTTCATAGCTTAAGGCTTGAATGATCGTCATCAAGCACGAATTCATTACCAAAGTGAGTGACTCGAACTGCCACCTAATACAAAAGTGCCTATCCTATTTTTTCTATGCCTACCTCCAAGATTACTTACTAGCTTTCTTCTCTTGCTAGCCTCTTTTCGCTCTTCATAATAACGTGTGAGATTATCAACCTGCCTACGAGGCTGCATCCTCTTCCTTTTCGACGGAAGGAGCTTCTGCGACGCTTGCGGGTGCCGTTATGGCAGCACCGGAGTCACTAGCTCCTTGCTGTTGAATCTGAACCTGTCGTGCCCGCTGTAGCTGTTGCTGTCGAGCTTGAGCTTGCGCTAGGAAATGGCGGCGGATGTCAGCACACCGAGGCACCTTACATACGGTGTATTCTTTGGTGCACTGCCGTGCATGCGCGGAGAGGAGTCCAATGATGCGCTTGCACAGTACGCAGGGTCCAGCAAGTCGCTGTTCACAAATTGCGCCATGTTTAAGCATGGCTTGCATGCGATTGCAGTTGAAGAATGCGCAATTAGGCACCGTGCAACTGCTCGCGTGCTCCAGCTGTAGCAGGAGTTGCGGGTCGATATTGTGAATCCGTCGTTTCTTGGATGCATCGCCATCGTTTGCACTGCCATTTGAGCCAGTCCCAGCCGCTGAATCAGCTGCAGTACTTGTTTCGGCGGAATCAACGTTACCTTCCGTCAAAGCAGGATCTGCGCCCGCCACCGTAGGTGCTGCTGCGTCCTCAGTTTTTACAAATAAGGAAGCTGTTGACGTCGCTACCAAGGAAACCTGGTTTAGCTTCCGCTTGCGAGAGCTGTCCACTTTCTTCCCAACCCCTCTCACGCCTTTAACATGCTTTGCACGCTTCAAATCGGAGCTACCTGCTTCGTGTTTGATGGAACGGCCACACGCACCCCCACTAGTTACAACACCCTTGATGTTCGTACTGGCTGTCTCGCTGGACACCTCGTTGCCAGGTTTCGGGATGGCAACCACCTTGAACAAATGTAACTGGTGATCATGCTTTGTTTTCGTATGGCACGCGTCACAAAGATTGAACACTGGACAGATCGAGCAATTCCAGCGATTACCACTCAGCAGTGTCGTCTTGCAGTTCGAACAGCTGAACGTGAAACCAGTCGTACCCTGGTTAAACAAGTGGTAGAGCACCATCATCGACGAGTGTTTTGCCCGCCGAATCTGGTCAAACTGGCAGTGGTTATTTTGGCAATACAACAGGAAGGCCTCGCGCGTATCAAAGATCTCACACGGCATGATCACATCGTCCAAGTCGTCACCTATCACGCGTCTAACCTTCTTCTTTTGCGCTACAGGTTTCGCATCCTTCGTCTTTTCTGTCATTTCACCACCATATTTCTCTAAACTTGGCTCGCTTCCCTTGTCCGTTGTCGAAGAAGCACTTTTGGTTGCTGCATCAGCCGCTTCTCCAGCTTCGATTTCAGCTTTGCTGTCAGGATTGTCATTGGCTGCTTCACCACTTGCTCCACTTACAGCAATCTCACCAGAAAAATCTCCGGTATCATCACTACTTTCTTTCGCCTTGTCCACGATTGCCGTCATCTCGTCAGATCTGTCTTCCTGCTTAACCTGGGTTTCATCCTCTACACCTTCCATAGGGTCGACAAACTTTAGAGTCAACTCAAACTTCATCTCCTGCAAATCCAGTTCGGCAAGCTCAGCAGCGGCTACCTTTCCGTTTAGCTGGAAGATCCTCTCACTCAAATCCTTTGCACGCTTTGCACAATTGCCAGACACCTCCACACGATACAGTAGCTGGGTTTTGTTGGTTTCGTAACAGGAACCACAGTAAAAATAATGATAGTGGCGTGGTGGCGAACTGCGGAAGCTCGACGAAGAAGACCGGGACTTCTTAGCGGTTTCCAGCAAATTATTAACAGAGGCAGGAGGAGAAATGGTTTTCAGCTCCCAGTAGCCTTCGTGGACCATCGGCACACCGCACTTGTGACACTTTGGATGTAAGTCTACCACAAAGAAGTCGTCTTTTTGTGGCTCAAGAATGCCCTTTAGCTTCTGCATGAGCGGATCATTGTTGATCACGTTTTTCGAACCGCTTGAAGAACGCGACGAGTTACTGCCCTTCTTTGAGCGTGCCTTCGAGGCGCTGCTTCGCGTCACCGATGGTTCAGTGGCGAAGTTGCTGCGCTTGCTTTTGTTCTTCTGGCTCGCATTAGGTGTTGTCGCTCCTTTTTTTGACGCCAAAAATTTAGAGTCACCTCTTCCGTCAACTGCTATGCCATTTTCATTGCTGGCCTCACTTGGTGAAGGAGATCGAGAAATAGGTGTCTTGGAATCATTAGCTGATGTACTTGCGCCACTGGCGCTAGCCCCATTGGCATCAACAGTATCTGACGTTCCCGATTTCGCTCGATTACCATTGTCTTTTTCTTCGAGCTGCTTTATGAGATCCTCAGCAAGTCGTGGCCAGTAATCACCTTCAAAATAGGGCAGCTCATGAGCTGCTTTCTTCTTCATGTAATATTCCGCGTAAAGATTGGAGATATTAGCGACGAGCCCATCGCGTTTAGCTTGCACCAAGAGTTTCTGGTACCATTGACGCAGACGCGCCGCTTTCGGAATTTTTTGATTATCTGGTTTGCAAAAAAAGATGTAGTCATCACCCTTCAGCGGTGGACAAGACCAAATGTGGCACGTGTGAAAGCCACGATTTTTGCAGTCCTCGAGAAAGCCTAACATCACTTGTTGATGCATTAACGTGCGCAGCTTCTTCGGTTGAAAATAATTGACCGAGTCCAGATATGATACGTACACACGCCCAGCATTTGGCGAAAAAGAGCTAGGGCCATATTCCTGTACATAGAGCGTGAAGATTAGCACATCCACGCCATCTAATTCTTGGAAGACACATATGCATCGCGATCGATAGGTCAACTGCAATGATAAAGGCAACGAAGCAGGTGCAGCAACCTTCTTGTAGCCAACAGAGGATGTTGATCGTGGACGTTTCAATGATTTCGTCTGCCCACTAACAGCCCCAGCCGCACCATATTCAGTATGATTCGTATTTCCATACTTCGTTGCTAGCAACTTGCCCATCCTTGGCTTGATTTGCACTTGCTTATCGATGCTGAGAACCTCACGAATTGTTATTCCAAACTGGGTATCAGATGCAGTTTCCTTGGGACCGCTCGAAAACCCAATACTGTCGGAGTTACCCATGTTACCCATACGCACAGCTTCGTCTTTGCCTGCCTTTTCGATGGACTCCAGCACGCGAGTCTCGATGAGCTTTGCCATTCGTGTGATTGGTAGCCGTTTGGCCTTTAGGCCATTTTCTAGTGACGGTTTCACGCCAGCTGCGCGTTGTTTCTTTACACAGATTGGACACACGAACGGTTCTTGCTCACCGGAAATCGCATGATTTCGTTCATTAAACAAAGCACAAATTTGGTGATACCACAGTTTGCACGAATCGCACTCTACCCACGGTTCTTCAGCAACCTCACTGTTCTTTCGCTTCAAAAGCGACGATTTCTTCAAAACTCCATCGAAGGGGACCATGCCGGCACCGGGAGGATGTGCCACTTCTGTTGCTGCACTTGATAATTGGGGCAAAAGCGACATGTCGATGGGACCTTCTTTCATCTGTTTGTAGCAAGTTGAACACCAGTGGTGTTCTCCCCGAGGATCACTATAGTAGTGAGTATGTCTCCGAATACGACCAGCACAAGGTCCGCTGCAGAAGAGCATGCACGGTGCAAACTTAAACGAGTCTCCCCCACATAATTGACACATCTCTTCACGGCGCTGTTCACAGCGCTTAAAAAGCTGCTTTTCCAGCTGGTTTTTAAATGCTGCCAACGACTTGTTAAACGAAGCAAGCAGCTGTTTCGCTGCAATGTTGAATTTGTTTGTGCTGCTATTGTATGCAATGCAGTTTTCGAAGACCAAGCGTACATCCCCCGCAAATGCTTCAACGCTATTGTAGTGCTCACTTTCCAACCGCTTTTTGATTGTACCGAGATCCATAGGGCACTTGATAATATCAAAGTAGTCTGGAATGTTCCACTGCACGGGATCCACAGGATTGTTAAATGTCCACCCGTACTCACTGTCCATAAGCTTTGTCAGCAGTGGCATTAGTCGGCTTTTCAGCTCTCCAATCGATATGTGTCCACAAAAATTAAACCTAAGCGAGCGAATGTGCTCATCCAGCTGACCACCCGTCATTGAATCTAAGAAAGAAATATCTTGGTGCGAAACATGATGCTCACTACGTAGTTCCGTCTGAGTGCCACGAACAATAAGGCCATTGGGCATCATGGGCTGCACGGCTCCTGCCGTTGTCGAAGCAGCAACAGGTCCAGTAAGCCCTGTCGCCGACGCCGCTGCTGCTGCCTTCGCTTGAGCGCGAGCCTTCGCAATTTTGGCCTGCTCTTTGCGGCGAAGCTTTTTCTCTTTCTCAGTTTGAAGTTTCAGAGGTTTTTTCTTCATCTCCTCCAACAAACCCGCTTCCTTGACATTTGTCAAGCTGGACTCACTGGAAGTCGTGTGGCCTTGACTAGCCACCGTGCCACCGACAGGTGCTTCCTTGGCCTTCACATTCGCTTGGTGTGCACCACCTGTCACATCGCCTCCAGCTCCTGCTTGCGCACCAGAAGATGAGACCCCTGCAGTGGTAGTATTCATAATCTTGATTAATCCGCGCACACCATCTGGACACTGACTTGCCACCAACTGAAGTTCAGCAGGATTCCCACGGCAAGAGTCTACCACTTTAATAGCCTTCCGCACTGGACCACATACTTCACAAATCATCTTATTGCACTGTTTGAAATGCGAAAGCACGTAGCGTGATGAAATGCAATGGTCCGTTCGACACTGTCGCTGATGGCAATCGCAGATGTGCTTCCAAAGCACTTTCATTCCGGCGCAATACGGGAGAATACATTGCTGCGCTGTACAAGTACTGGCGTGACGTAGCATGCAAAGCCGTTCCTGCTGCCGTCGAAGCACCAGTTGCTGCTCATTCTCGTTCATTGGAGGCCGGATAGCGCTGCACACATCACATTGTAGATTACGGCATTTTCGAAAATGCGAGAGCAACTGCCGAGTTGACTTGCACCCTAGCGTTGTGCACTGTGCGTTTGCACAACGCGACACATGTGAAAGTAATGCCTTTGTGCGGCTGCAATAATCGATCGTACATTCTCCCGTCGTACACGTTCGCGCGTGCTTCAACTGAATTAGTCGCCGCTTCAGTTCTTCCCGCTTCTGAGCGATTGACACTTCATTCATTTGGATCATTCCAGGCGCAATTCCGTTGCTAGTCGTACCAGCGGTTAGCGTAGTGGCCGTGGCGCTTGTCAGCACATTAGTACCAGCTTGCAGATGGGCAGCGCTAACCGTTCCATTTAATTGCTGCTGTTGAAGCTGCTGGAGCTGCTGCATACGCCTGAGCTGCTGCATTTGCTGAATTTGTTGGATCTGCTGAATCTGTGGGCCCGTCAAATTCATTTCGTGGTACATGTTCGTTCCAGCAGCAGTCGCTGGAGCAGCACTAGCCAGTGTTGGAGATGGCTGAACAAGACATGCCGACGACGCACCACTAGCGCTTATCTCTGGCGGCATGCTCAATGGAATCGCGCTATACGAACCCGATCCGATACCACCACCAACGACGACCGGTGAAGCAGTTGTTGGTGTCATGTTCACAAAGTTGTTTCCACTTGCAGTATTCAAACCCCCAGTTGGCGTTGTTGCAACTTGTAGTTCAGATTCCGGCATCGAAAGTGGTTGATCATTCACTCCATTGGCCATTTCATTTGCCTCGCGCTCCAGCTCGTCCAATATCGAATTAGATGCTCCGCCTGATCCAATGCTGGGATTTGAACCGGTAATACCTGGAGTTGGATTTACTGCATTCAAGGATCGAGGAGTTTTTACCGTCATTTGTGACATATTCAGCGGCATCTGAAGTGGCTGAGACATGGAGCCCTGGGTCATACCCGTAGATGATCCGGGAAATGGGACAGCCTGAAAGTTTGCTCGTTGATTATGCAGTGCTGCAGCCATTTGCTGCTGCTGTTGTCTCTGAAGTAGCGCTATTTGTCGCTGTTGCAGCAATTGAACTTGCGTTTGTTGCTGCGCAGAATCTGTAGATGCTTTTTGCCCTTGCAGCTGCTGCTGTTGCTGTAGCCTTGTCTGTTGCTGCTGCATTTGCCGCCGCCTTGAATTGTCAAGAGCGTGCTGCAGCCGTGCCTTTAAAGTCTGCACGTTGCTGTATTCTTGTTTCGATGGCGCTCCCATGTAAAGCGTATGTTCTAATCTCCTCGCGATTTCTCGGGGATTGTAATTAGCGGAAGCCGGTCTGTTGGCACTCTTCATTATTAACGTCAAGCTACACACGATCACAACCAGCTCAGCAACGTTCAGTCATAATGTACATCCACCAGTCAGGCATTATCAACTCCTGCTTCAGTACGCACATGATTCGTGCAATTTGCTGTCGAGCGCCTCGATCGGCGTCCTTGTCCCTCCAATCTGGTGTTGTCCCGACAGAAGTGCCAGAAATGGCTCCAGCTAAATTCACTGCAGTGGCATTAGTCGTGTTGACACTTCCTGTAGCCATGACTGCACTTAAACTTGCTGTAGACACTGAAGCTTCTTCCGTGCTTGGATTCATGTTCTGTGTCTGCGCAAAAAAGCAGATAAAGATCACACAAAATTCCCCCAAAAATTAGGACTGGCATCTTGTCTCCTTTTTCAAATCATAAAAAAGTATATAAATAAAAACATGCAACGTACGTTGCTTATTGTCGTAGAAGAAGTAGAATCAGAATGATCAACAACGGTCGGTTTTGGTGCATACTGAGAAACAGGGGGCATAGAGTGCTGGGGAAGGGACATGAGCTAATTGAATTGTCTTGTGGTCTCTTTTCTTCCACCTGTCGCGCTCTCTCTGGTAGCACTTGCAACCCACTGGCTGTAACAAAGCTTTCCAAAGCTCCGGTCAAGCTTCAAAGCAGTCGAAACCTTTGATAAAGCTCTTTTAGTCTTAAATAGTTCCACCGGTGCAATTCTTCTGGCAGATACATTTACAATTCGTTAGTTGAATAGTTCGACAATACATGTTCCCACTACTTAAGTTCTTTTAACTAGACAGAAGCCAGTTTTAATGCTAATATAAATTACCGAAAAGACGGTAATTTATTTTAGCTAGCCAAAGTGCACGGCTTCTAGACACTCAAATTGAGCGCAGGAAGCTGGAAATAGTGCCCCAGAGCTCAATGAGGTCAACATTTTTACTGTTGAGAGGCTATAGGCACATTAAAAGCCTAGTTCTACAAGGGTGATTATACCCCCCCTTAAATAAATTACGGATTTCTTACCTTGATCGTATGAAGGCCACAAGTGAGAACACGACGCAAGAATGACCTGAGATGAAGAAGGAGATACGTAAATGATAGTTTTCCAGATTAGATTACAATCTGCTAGTGACAACTCACAGGCCAAGGGGGCCCGCAAGTGACTGTTGCGGCCGTGTCTTCCGCTCAGAATGGAGAAGAAAAAGAGAAAGAGTGATGGTCACTCGATTGGGGGGCGGCGATGGGATCAATTTTGACTTGATTTTTGTAAGCACTTGGATAAAAGGGGCTCAAGCAACCTTCACGTAACATTCCTACCATCTCGACAATCATTTTAGTACGACCATGAAGATGCGCATCGTCAGCGACGGTTTGGTGACGGATGTCTCGGGGGACCACGGGCGACGTGTTGAGGCGTCGATTGATCTTTCTCCTGGTGATCTGGTGCTTCGAGTCTCACCTTACGCTGCTGTGCTTTTGCCGGAGCTCTGGGGCTCGCATTGCCACAAGTGTTTTGACTCAAAGATACGTCTTAGTCGCTGTAGTCGCTGCCAGACCGCGTTCTATTGTACGTATTTGATCGTAGCTATTCGATTTTGCTAGATATTAAATTTAACAATCTAATGTGATTATAAGGCTCTACAACCTGTCAACTAAAAGACTGGCAAGAAAACCATCGTAGAGAATGTCAAAATCTGAAACAATTGGCACAGCTTGGATTACGAAGTGATCAAGTGATGGATGTGGTCTTAGTAGGGCGTGTATTAAGACGCAGCAATGGAGAAACACTGGAATCGACAAAGCTAGTGTGGTACACCCAAGACATGGAAGACCACGAGCTGATGTTATTGGCTGCTTTGGCCCAAAAACTTGAATTTGTAAATCGTGAATTGTTTACCATGGACGAGATCGTGCGAATGTTGAGTCGATTTCGCAATAATAATTTTTCCATTTGCGACGAATTATTGCTGGAATTGGGTGCAGGCTGTTATTTATTGGGGGCAATGATTAATCATAGCTGCAATCCCAATTGTATTGTCACGTACGTGCATAACATATGTGATGGTAGAGAAAGAATGAGCTGATTTTGTGACGTTTGTTTTTTGTTGTAGATTTGTTCCCAAGACTCTTGATATGGAGATTCGAGCAATGAAACCAATCAAATCGGGTGAAGAAATCACGCAAACGTATGGTAAGTATTCGTAACAATAGTCAGCTTTTGTGCTTAGCTCTAACCTTAATAAATGTATTGTAATCTTTGATGATGATCTTTTCTACAGTTGACATTGCGCTGCCACGCCGTATGAGGCAACAGCGACTACAGAGGAAGTATCATTTCTGCTGTGAATGTACTCGTTGCTTACAACCTCTTAAAGATCCTCAAAGTCTGGATGCTTTCCTCGATGCGGACATTGATGGCGTCCCACAAAAGCTATGGACGGAGAAACGCCAGGATGAAGTGGAGCAGGCACTAAAGGAAGCCAGTTGTGTCACTATTCGTGCTGCCAAAGAGGCGAACCTTTCTGCACAACAACAACAACAATGCATTGACGCACTGGCGAAACTGGCTGAACATCAGAATAGTATTCTCCACCGTGACAGTATAGCGCGGCTGCAGACGCTTTCTGCGCTCTTTAGTGCTGCAATGGAGCGTGGAAGTATAGACGAAGCGAGTACGTACGGAGAGCGCATACTGGAATTTTACAAGCGCGTTTACAATTCAAACCACCCGGTGACCGGACTTCATCTGTTTACCCTTGGTGATCTCTATGATCAACTGACACAAACTGGATCTGGAGGCGTTAATTGCAAGGCAAAGTCATTGGAGTACCTGGCAGAGGCGCAGCGTATTCTTCGAATCACGCATGGCAAACACCACCGTTTTGTAAAGATGCTCGCAGATAGATTAGAGACGTCATCACCGCGATAATTAAAAGCACTAATGCTATTGATAACGTTGAAGTTTGCTTCCTGAACAGTAAGGCCTTGTTACTGCAGATAGCTAATATCGCACAGTATTAGGTGTCTAAGCCATGACTGCCTACCTTTGATGTTGAACTTGACAAGGTCCGATTAAGGAGCTGAGGAGCGGTGACGACAGTCATCACCCGCAAAAATTGTCACCTATTCACATGAATATCATGTACACACATTTTTTATACTAAAGATATTGTAGCGAGCTCTACAAGGTCATTAACACCATAGACATCTCGTAAATAGCATTGACAGCGACGTAAATTACTGTCTCTTTGACAGTCGGTATCATCTACTATGATATGTATGCAACCAGTTAGTGTCGTCACACGTCGCATGTTTTATCCTATCACTCAAATACTGAATATGCAAAGAAACAGGTAAATACTTCGATATTTTCAGCTTGAAAACTTAATTTTTGTCATTTTTCGAATAAACTTTTTTTTCAATGAATGTGGTGGCAGAGATCCAGCGTCTGAATGAGCGTGAGCTGGAGCTAAATGTGCCACTTTCTGGTTCCTGGCACCAGAAATACCGGACATCAGCATGGATTTTCATTGGTGGACTGCCTTTTGAGCTCTCTGAAGGCGACGTACTGTGTGTGTTGAGTCAATTTGGAGAAATTGAGGATATTCATTTGGTTCGTGATGGAAAAACGGGTAAATCCAAAGGGTTTTCGTTTATTAAGTATGAGGATCAACGCAGTACTATTTTGGCAGTGGACAATTTAAATGGGTCAAAGCTTTTGGATCGTGTGTTGAGAGTGGACCACGTGCTTAAGTATAAGTTGCCAAAAGAATTACAGGAAGACAGTGACTCAGAGGATGAAGAAATAGACAAAGCGAGACGACCGAGAGGATTACCGGGTCATGCCTATGAGGGCAAAGAATTGGCTACCAAATTTGATTTACAGAAAGGGGTGGAGGTATTTGCAGCTCCCAAGGAGACATCGAAGGAAAAGAACAAGAGGAAAAAAGAATTCAAGAAGAAGAAAAAAGAGGTCAAGAAATTGAAAAAGATTGAACAAAAACAGCAGCAGATTTTTGAACAGGTGCAAAAGAGAAGACAGGAATTAAAATTGAAGGAAGAGAGAGAAGCAGTGCAAGGAGACGAGATGGATGTCGGGGCACCATCCAGTGCGACGGGATGGAGAGGGAGATTGGAACCTTCTGCACCACGACCAAGACATAATGGTGATAGAAAACAGCACAATGAGGGACGAAAGACACAGCAAGACAAGAGTTACGGGGGCATGCGTCGCATACGCTGAAATAGGAATTCATGATGATGTATAATCATGATCACTGCGACAAATTGTAAGGCTTTGTACCATGTATATGCTTTCCACTATCAATCAGCAGGCTCGTTCGACGGTCCTTCAGAAGCATCGTGTTTGCTTTCATCCTGAGGCATTTGAAAGTCATACACCTCAAGCACATTTCGCACTTTCGAGTTGAGTTGTGTCTCTTTGGCCACTTCATTTCCATTGACAATGTCATCGTTCTCATCCTGCATATCTTCCGGCAAATTGTAGTGCCTTTGGCCGCTGCAAACAGCAATCCTGGCTTTGGAGACGTCAGGGAAGAACGACACTCCATTGGCACAGTCAGGTAACCGAATACTCTCGTCCAACAGATCTCCAGTTAGCACATCATAAAGCATGACTCGACCATTGCGACTACCAGTAGCTAAATATCTCCCGCCGCAATGCAAATCAAATTCTATCCGTTGATTCGTGTCAGCTACACGGTTGAAGGAATGCAAAATCTCATTCGTTGCACGTATATCCCAGCAATGAATCCGTGCATCGTGTCGCGCAGCCGTAAATAGGAACCGTCCACATGGAGAAAATCGTACTTGAGTAATTCCACGACCGTCATGATCGCGCAGTGTCAGTAGCTCTTCCCCCTCGTCCTCAGTGTACACACAAGTCGTTCCGCCATACGACCCCGCCGCATAAATCTTGGAATGATCAGGATTAAAATGCAGCGTACTAATCAACCCTCGCTGACCTTTACGAGAGCGTCGAGTCTTGCTTAATGGTCTGGCCCTAAAGTCTCTACTGGGTTGCGACAGATCAAAGAATCGAATGATCCGGTCAAAACCGGCAAAGAGCTTGGTAGCTGTAGAACTAAATGCCAGACTCTGAGCACTTGCTAGCTCATCCATATGGTCAAAAGCTCGATAAGAAGCTCGGAGTTCCCCCGTATAGGCGTCCCATAGATGTACTGGCTGGTCTTGACTGGTGCTTACAAAAACACACGAATTTGGATCACTGGACGACATGAGTGGATACCACTCGTAGTCGTACACTGTACCACCTTCTTTGGCTTGTAGTAGACTCGTACTGGAATGGGACTTATCATGATTTAGTTCAAATAGACGAAGAATATGATCGTCACTACTGGTTAAGAGACAAAGACCATCAGGTGAGACTTTTATCCCTTTCGTGAAATTGTTGTTACAAGTGAAAGACACGGCGGAAAATTCATTAAATGCTCTGAATTGTACGTAGGGATGCATGGTGTCATTGTAGCTGAAACAATCGGGCTGTGTGATAGAGGCTGAGTCATCAGCAGAGGGCGCTGACGTCTCCATCGCTGATGTCTCCACTGTAAATAAATTGACGGAGTCTAACGCCACTTTATAGGAAAAAAACTCAGCACAATTTTGTGCTTAAACCCGCTGCTGGAGATTTGATATTTCTACTTGATTACCAAATAACTAATGCACATCCCCATGTTAGCAACTTAATATGACTTTTATGCATCATTTCCAGCGATTTTTCGGTCTCAGCTCTTAGTCGCTCTCCAACTGATGAGCACGGATCCACCACTGACATGCTTTTGTTGTGCTTACACAACATAGCAGAGCAGAAGGTTAGACAAACTTGGTATCCTTGTAGCATTATTTTGTCTTATCCTTTGCTCAGTATTCTAACAGGCCACACGTTACACATACCCGTTGAGTGTAGACGGGCACTTCGAAAGAAGCTGCCACGTACTACTAGCGCAAACCTTCAATCTGCGTGAGGAAGAGGTTAGACCGTCTTACTTCCGCGTGCGATAGTGGTGGTGTTGGTCGGCGCCGAAAGCGCTGTACCAACCGTTCCCGATTGCCTAAGCGAACCGCGCAACGAATACATATCAAAACTTAACTTGCGTCACGCAAAAGCTTGTTCAGCTTCTTGTGCATAGTGACAGGTAAATAGCAAATCCAAGACTGACTTATATTTAATCGAAAATAATTAAATATAAATCTAACTACTGATTGATTAAATGTAAACATCGGATACGCGTCTCTTTAAGAGCGTGAACCTACGTGCGAGCTATTTAAGCTCGCTGATGGAGTTGGTCGGTGACGTCATCATGTCGCCTAGTCTCAATTGGGCGTCATTTCCGTCGAAGTATATCTAATAGTATATATCACGATCGTAGGTCACATTGAATGTGCCACACTCAAGCGGGAGGTCTAAGGTATTATGTACCCATTCAGACCTGTAGACGGGCACTTCTACGAAGTTGCCTCGTACTACGAGCACACACCTTATTCACAAGCGAGGAAGCGGTTATACCGTCTTACCTTCGCGTGCGAGGGTGGTTGGGAGGTTGGTCGACTGCTTAAGCAGTCGTACCACCAGTTGCCTCTCGCTTAAGCGAGAGTGCAACGAACTTCTTAACACTTATAACACCGACGTCACGCAGAAGTCTTTCAACTTCTCGTGCGTGGTGCGTTTGTTTAAGGAAATTCAAGACTGAGATATATTTAATTAATTATAACTAAATATATACTTAACTACTGATTGGCTATATATATATATAAATCGGATACGCGACTCTTTAGAAGCGTATCCTGTCGCATGATCTTAGATCTAGATTTAAGATCGCAACTCACGTCCTTCTGAGACGTCGTGATGCCTGGCTTCAACTAGCGTCATCCCTTCTCATGTGAATCCATCAATGGATATCACATTCACGAGGGTGGATCACCTTTGTGTATCGCACCCAAGTGACTGGTCAAAAGTAATCATGGATACTTTTAGACCAAACATTAAGTATATTACTTAATGTTTACGTGTAACTAGGTACCCTGTTACACCATCCCCCGTTTTAGAACGATGTTTACATTATATAAAACATCGCCTAAGAGACAGAGAGACTGGCGAGCCGTTATAAACGCGCCGCTTTAGTCTGCTCAGTACTCATGCCACCGAAACGTGGTAAGGCTGATGGGTCGCCTGCAAAGGCACCCATGCAGTCCAGCACTAAGCGCACGCGCCGCGATTTATCGCAGCCGTCGCAAAGTGCGTCAGGCACTGGGGTGAATCTTCCATCTCACGATAATGTGGATGAAGATCCATCTCTCATTGTAGACTACAATGAGACCACACCACTGCCATCACCCCAAAGTGGCGATGAGCATAGTGCATTGATGGGACATATGTCCCTATCATTTGAGGCACCAGTCCTTGAGGAAGCATCGATGCTTCCTACAAGCGAAGGTAAAACCTCGTCGTCTGCGCCTAAGAGCGCAGCGACTAAGACTGAGCGCGCTACTTCGAAAGGAGTAGTCGCGACTCAGTCAGATGTAACTTCTCAGGCTGATGTCTTGACAATCCATAATGGAGAGTCAGACTCAGATGAGTGTGAGCTTAAAGCTCCACCAAGTACACTTTCGGCCTCACTAGCCCGCCGTCGCGAGGGCGGCTACGTGAGTGGTGGCTTGCCACCAATGCCACCTCCATCTGAGTGGATGAACTCGGATGGGTCTAGCGCAGCGCTTTTGCAGCGTGTCATTATAGACGCTCATAAATTTTATAGCGTCTTTCCTTTGTGGAAAAAGCAGGGCAAAGCACTTGGTCGTGCTTTCCCAATTCCAGTCGTGCTGCGTTCTAACGAAACAGCCAACGACTATGAAGCTGAACTTCGGCGCCGTGTTACCTTGCAAGAAGATGCAACGAAACAGCGGTCGCAGCGAATCAGCTTCGCCATGAAGCGTGCGCATGAAATTATGGGCGGTAAGCGACCCCCAATTAATTCTCGCCACGCTTCTTCTGCTAGTCCTTCCGGACCTAGCAGAAAGAATACAGCTGGTGCTGCTTCACATAAGCAGCTACCAGCCCAGGCACGTCAACGCGAAAAGCGTCCACAGGCTCCCACGAGTCAAAGCTCGTTGGGTAACCCTTCCATTGGACAAGGATTTGGAGCTTTCGCTTCACAAACCGGTGGGCCAACAGCCTTCCAACAAGGAAGCGCGTATTCCCTTCCGTGTCCACCAACACAGGTGGCGCCCAATAGGAGCGGCGATTACGCCCACCTACTCGCGGCTGCCTATCCTGCTGCTGCTCAGTCGCAGGCTGAGTCTGCTGCGCTGAAGAGGCAGGTGACAGATCTCGAGAGTCAAGTCTCGCGACTGACCTCGGATCTGCGCGATGTGAGGACGAGAGACCGTCAGGGGTATGACCGCCTAAAGTCCCGCTTGGACATCTTAGATCGACTGGTGAGAGACCCACGTCAAGCGCGGAGTCCTCCTCGATCACCGAGTCCTCTATCGCCTCGTTCATACACGGGGAGCCTTTCGGCTTCCTCGTCGCCTGATCGGTCGCGACGCTCGACTCACAGTCGATGTCACCATCGGTCTCGTTAGACCGATGCGGATATGTGATCTCTTCTGAATCAACATACCGTTTCAGACGACCCACGTTAAATACGGGGTGCGTCTTCATATACGATGGGAGAGTGAGCCTATAATTTAGGTCTCCAACTTCTTCAACCACTGTAAAGGGCCCAATGAACCGGGGCAATAGCTTAGTAGTACCACCAGGTAGTACAGAAATTGCATGTTTAGGTAGGGTAGCAGTACTTAATTGCACTTTGTCCCCAACACTAAAGTGTTCACTGTTTTTGCGACCATGCTGGTCTGCATATTGTTTTTGCTTGTCCTGTGCGCTTGCCATCGCGTCTATACTTTACGTGTGATGGCTAATCGCTCATGTACAAAGCGCTGAGCTTCGCTCACGCTTTTAGCATCCAGCTCGCCGATGACGCCTCCAAGAGGTCGTTCATGGGTCGACGCTGTTGATAACACTATAGTGTCATAATCAAGGAGCACTGGAATTTCTTGCCGTGCCTCCTTTGTGACACCTATAGGTGTCGTGACCTCTGCTAAATTAGCAGTGTCACTAGGGCAACCTTGGCCCTCTTTGGCATTCGCACCGAGCGAAGTGAGGGGCCCTCCCCCACTAAGACGCGGGCTGCGTACAAACGAGACTGGCGTTCGAGGATGACGCAGTCCATTAATGTAAAACGGTGTTTCACCCGTACTACTCCACGAATGGCAATTGCTTGCTCCATTCTTTAGGAGTCGCTATGGTACGCAACACATCCGCCACGAATCGATTGGCCCGTTCTGTTTTTGGCCATCGGTCTGGGGATGATCAGCGGTGGACATGTGGAGCTTGCTACCCAGCAACTCAAACACATGTCGCCAAAAACCCGACGTAAAACGCGGATCCCGGTCCGATACTATGGACTCGGGCATCCCGTGTAGTCGATACACGTGATCCAGAAACAAGAGGGCAGCCTCTTTCCTGAGATCGTGGTGCTACATGGTGCCAAATGCACCATCTTGCTCAGTCTGTCTACAAATACGACGAGCCCCGTCCTGCCTTTATGGTCAGTCAGTAAGCCAAACATGAAGTACAAACTGACCGACTTCCAACAATCCGTTGGAATCGGCAGTGGCTTCAGTGGCGCACTGTTCGAAGGTGCAGGCTTTATGCGCTGACACTCTTCGCAAGAGCGAATATAGTTGGCCACCCACCGATATAGATGAGGCCACCAAAATTCCTCTGACACTCGTAAGAATGTCTTTTCACGACCCAGATGCCCACTAGATGGCGCATCATGGCACTCGTGAAGTATCATCAGCTTGAGATCTGTGTCATGAGGGACATAGATTCTCAAGGGATCACAGGGTGACAGTTGATGCCATAACAGACCATCACTGTAACTAAAGCGATTCAACTTCGCTTTGAGGTGCGACGGAAGGGTAACCTTTCGTCCACCAAAATGATCCAACAGCAGGCGACAATGTTCGTCCTGACTGTAACACTCCTTGATATCGGAGGCCATTGAGATCGTCACATGGTAGGCCCTCATGGCTGCCAATGTTGACGACTCAACATGTGCTTTCGCACGAGACACACTTTCCTGGTGTCTTGCCTCGAAGTCTGGTCTGCGCGATAACGCGTCAGCCAAGACATTTGACTTACCCGGCTTATATTCAACTTTGAAATTAAATTCATAGAAGAATGTTAGCCATCTCGCCATCCTAGGCGAGAGGTGCGGTGAGTTTATAGCGGTCCGCAGTGATGCGTGATTCGTATAAACCACAAAAGGTTCGGTGCCCAAGAGGTGCACCCGAAACTTCACAAGGACATACTTAATTGAAAGTAGCTCCTTGTCATGCACAGGATAATTCAGCTCGGCAGCTTTTAAAAGCCGAGACGGATACGATATGACAAGGTCAACGCCGCTGTTATCCTTCTGCATGAGCGCGCTGCCGATTGCAAAATTGATTGAATCGCAGACGACACT